CAGGGCCCGCATGGCATGTGGTAGCCAGGATCGAACCCAGGTCCTTGCACTTGCCAGGGAGGACCTAGCCTGCCAGGGAGCTATCTCCCCAGCCAATCTGAAAATATTTTGCTTAGATGTAAAACTAACTTAAGATTCTGGGTCTGATAGGTTTTAAATACATTTAATGCAGGAAGTAGGTTGTTTTCATTGTATGAGATTATCCTGGGCAGTTCAGAGTATCAGTATGTTTTATGTCTACCACATTGTTAGGACAATTTTGATAATTGTAAAACAATCTTCTCTCAGTTGTTCAGATTTATCTCTCAGAGGGGAATAGTGAGAGAACCAGTGGTCTCCAGTAACACAATAATGCATGAGTGTATTTGCCCCTCTTTTCATTTCTATACATGTATGTTTGTAACTGCCTAGTAAATTGAAGCCTTTTAGAAAATTATTAAAATGATAGCTTCATCTAGGAAATCTGACTGGTTATCCCCATTTGGATAAATTTTCGGTTTCTTCCTAAACAGCCATAAAGTTATCTGAGTTTGGAACACCATGAAAGATTATTCTACAAATGTTCCTTGCACTTGTTTGGACCGAAGGGAAGCAGTTTTTACTAGATCCACATATGTGTAGAAAGATGAAAAAGCTTCTTTTGGTCAGATTCCCAAAGCTTGTATTTTAAAATTCAGCTATCTCTAGTTGTATACTAGTAGACACTTGAATATGTATGCATATGAACTATATTTTTAAAAAATGTGTTTGGTACAGTGTCTCACTATGTAGCTTGGACTCATAGTGATTGATCCTCCTGTTTTCAGCCTCCCTGGCACTGGGATTACAGGCATGCACCACTATCTCCAGACTATACCTGGGCTCAGCACGCCTGGGGACAGGGCCAGTGTGGCATGTGGCGCTGGGGATCAAACCGCAGTCCCTGCGCTTAATCAGTGCTTAGTCCACTGAGCTATCTTGCTGGCCTTGAACTATATTATCTTGTTTGAAATAGAAGAGAATTAAACTTTACCTTGGATGTATAGACAATGCCTTTTTTTGGAGACAGTGTCTCACTGTGTAGTGCAGGCTGGCTTTGAACTCACTTACATATCCCAGGCTGGCCTGAAACTCCCAGCAATCCTCCTGTCTCAGTCTTCCTCAGTGCTGGGACTACAGGTGTGCACCACCATGCCCAGCCCTTACATGTATACAGAAAAACTGAAATTGAAAAAAGTGCTAGAAAACTTGAATAAGAAATAACTGCCTTGGCTATGTACAGGAAAAAGCCTGTGCAGTCCTACATAAGCCCTAGAGCAGCAATGTTGTGCTGATGTACAGAAATATAGCCTTAAGTCTGTAATGAGTTACATATATTTGAAAGTATTGTTCAGTAAATATCTAGCTCAGTTTCAGTATTACTGCTTACATGTTTACGACAGATGGTATAAACAGATGACACTTGATACCAAAAATAATGCGTCAGTGACCATGTATTCTCTTTAACAGCTCCAGGTCCGGGTCCGGGTCCAGTTCCTGTTCCAGGTCCCAAAACTCATCCTTCTGCATCGGCTGGCAGTATGCTTCTCCCACCACTTGGGGCATTCATCATTTTAATTAGCACTCTGCTGTAAATCTTTTTGTTGTTCCAACGTTTGACACATTTTTTATCTTTCTTATTCTGTACTTGGAAGGCACTGCTGTGATCTCACAGGAGAGCAAAAACAAAGATGTATTTTTTCATTTGTTGGCCTAAGTCACTTTGTAAAACAAGTTATATGTTTGCTATTTGTTTTGCTAATTCAGAAAGTTGTCCAGATATGGCACCAAATTAACTTTATTTCTGTATTAAGCTTATGCCTGAAAAACCCTAAAACTGTATACTCTTGATTCAATTCAATAAAAAACTTTAAGAGTGTAAGATATTTCTGTAGACTTGCCAGTAAATATACATTTGTAGTATTAGTAGCTAACATAAATTTAATACCAGAATCAGTTTTAAAGATGCTGATTTCTGGGGCTGGTGAGATGGCTCAGTGGTCTAAAGCACCGACTTAGAACAAGCTTAGCAAAGCACAGGGACTGCGGTTCAATCCCCCAGCACCACATAGCCTAAGC